TGGAGGAAGGAACCACGGGCCTGATTTTGCCCCTTTCCCAAACACTCCCATTTAATAAGCAATGTTTCTACTGTCAGAAAGACCAGGATATATTTCAACTCTAACCTAAGGCTCACGAGACGTTCACTTTATGTGGGCAACTGCTGTGGCTTTCCCAATCAGGTAACTGACTTAAAAAATGCTGATAAATGATTTGTTGATACCTACATACAGCAGGCTTAAATTTTCCTTGGGAAAAATTAAGTGCTTTATGTGAGATTGTTCCCTATGGAGGAATCATCTCCTCCAGGAAGCCTTTTTCAGTGCTGCCCACCCTCCTCTCTTTGCTCCCACAATGACCCTGGATTCCCCTTCATCTAACCTGTAGTAGCAAAGCCCTGAAACTGGAGCGCTCTTCTGTCATTTCTCCTTGGAGGCTGTAAGTCCCTCAAGCCTAGGGACTAAGCATAATTAAAACCTCTGGACCGTAGCCTGGCCTGCTCAACAATGTTTGTTAACCAGAACCAAGGGTGTGGACTTAAATAAGCCCAGAATAGGAAAAGATTTCCAAGATAGGGCCTGTGCCCAGGAAGCGAGGTGGGCACAGTGCCCTTCCCACAGCCCACGCTGATCCTGTCCCAGACCCTCACCTATCTCCTCAATCCCACTGAAGCATTCAGAATCACCTCGTGTTCTGTGAATATCTTAATCTGTGGCTGCAGATCTTTCTCAGGTGTTTGCCAGGGCCCAACCTCACATCTCTAGGAAGGGGAGGTTTCTTGCACTTACTTAAATGTTTCTCATAAAGCTCCAGTGACCAACTGTTCCCTCAGAGTATTTCCATTTCAGAGGAAACATTACTTTCACCTGTGGTTCTCTTGCACCAGATTTTTCTTAAGTTTTCTGCGAGCTAATACGCATGCTTTCATCTGCCTAGAAATGTTAGGGCTTCTCATTCATTGCTGAGAAAAAGCTTAATCTGTTTTTATCCTAAATGACAGGTGAGATGCTTTAGATACATATCAAAAGTAATTTTTTTAAAAGACATGTAAGTCTTGAATAAATTTCTTATCCAACTCCTCCTGAGGTTCCATGGTTGTGTTTTCTATCAGATTTTCTATAAATACATACCTCCTACTTCCCCCAGCATTTTAAAGCATTCTGCATTAAGGAGATTTTCATCTACTTTTAATTGGATAGGGCTCTAAAGAGCAGAATAATTCATATTTCCAAGGTGAAACCTTGCTTACAAGGTTTACCACAGCCCTAAATGAAAAAGCATCAAGTCAATGCACAACTTTATTTTCCTACTTGAAATCCCTAATCCAGTTTATAGCCTTCTTGGTACCATGAATTCACTCGCAGCACAGAGCACATTCCTCCAGCCAGCTCTTTTCATCAGATGATCTCAGCTACACTCTCTTGCGACAATAATCTTTTCCCCAGCATGTGAACCTCCCGGTCTAGGGAAGTTCCACATCTTCATTTCATAAATAGAAAACTTTTTTTTCTGCTGAAACTCCTTCCTTAGTTCCAAGACTGTGGCTGCAGAGAACATACCAGCTATTGATTTCCTACAGAGAACTATAAGGTTGATGACTGAGCTGTTTGACAGGGTGACAACATTGATCTCCCAGGATGAGAGCAGTGGCAAATGAAAGAGAAGATGCCAGCCAGGACAGCCATCCTTGCTAAGAATTCTAGCTGGTGATGACTCACCAGGATATCAGTAGACCCCTCTGGTTTAATTTGCTTCTAGCTATAGGCAACTCACCAGTGACGACATTTTACAGGATGCCTGAATTTCAGCCATTCTGAAATTTATCTGTTTTCCTGGGCAGTTGTTGGGAAAAGAGTCATAGGCAACAATTCTCTGAATTTCCAGTGCCCCACACAGGTCCCTGATGCTTGAATGGTGTGGAAGAAGCCAGGCACTGGCTGAGGTCCCTCTGCACCAGAGCTGGCCCAGGCTGGCCCAGGACTAGCGTTAGGCTCCGAACCATCAGAGTTTCAGCCGGGAGTGTGGTGAGCAAGCCTCTCTCAAGTCTCTTCAGGATAAGGGGCTGGAGTCCCAGGAAAGATGTGTGTCATGAGGAGGACATGGTGACTCCAGAACTGTGGCCCAGCTGCAAGAGGCCCGAGCTACCCTCAGTGTTGCCTGCACCCTCTCCCTACAGAGTGGAGGTCCCTGCACACTCTCTAGGACCCTACCTGTCCTTGAGCCACATCCCATCCTCAGCCTCCCAGTGTGTTCAGCTGGCTGCCAATGATCCAATCAAAGGATGAACATTATTCTAAAGCCATTTCTGAGAGAGTCAGGCCTCCCTCCCCAGACCCGGTGGGTGCATTCTCTCTGGGGTCTGCAGCTCAAAGCTGCCCTGTCTCGTGGGAGCAATGCCCTCCTCTCCTGGATTGTGCACAAGACCGAGATAGTTGCCTGAGAAAGGTGGTCAGATGGGACTCCTCGTCCACAGGGAGCAAAGGACAATGGTGGCCAGGCTTAGAGGTCTTCACAGAAAGGCCGAAAGAAATGGGGCCTCAGAGGCAGTCCAGCACGCAAGGACTCACTGCCCATCAAAGTCATGTCCACCAATTTGGCTTCTGTTCCCCACAGCCAGCCATTCTTTGTCAAGACAGAAAACTGTGTGCTCTGTTCATCATGCTCTGGAAGAGAACACGAGGAAAGAAAAAATTTTCCAAAACAGAGACTTTGCATTTTTTCTTCAGGCCAGGACACGGGTGCTTCTGCAGGACCACGACAAGCCCAGGCCAGGCTGTAAAGGAGATGGGACCCATGTCGTCGCTCACTCCTTCACTCCGCAGGTGATTTTTGGTCGCCTATGATGAGAGCAGGCTCCGGAGAGCACGGGGCAGGGAGGAGAAACAGGAGCTGGGAGTTCACACCAGGGTACTGTGGAGGAAGGCAGTAGCTGCAGAGAGGATTCAGAGCAAGAGCTAACTTTGTGAAGATGGGAGAAATATTGGCATGGTTGTAGGTGAATGTGTATCAGCTGACAGGGAGCAAAACACTGCCGCTGTGGGAGAGGGAGGATGGACTGCATGGTGTCCCGGAATGAAGAGGGGTTCCAGGGCCCACAGGGATAGAAGTGGGGAGAGCCCACCCCTAGGAGAGGAGCAGCACAGAATATATAGGCACAGATGCAGACCCGTGGATGAGCGTGTAGAGGTCAAAGCTGAGTCTCACAGCCTGGGTAACTGCTTGATGGAAAGTCAATTACTTTTAAAAAGAATTAACACCTGGCAGGAATGGCGCCTAATCATTCAGAACCCCCTTGTAGGAAGTAAAATCTCACTGGATTTATCGGAAAGCTTCTCTGCGCTGCTCTGGCAGCTTTGCAGCCACGTGAGGGCGCTGCCCTCGCTCTGCTCCCAGTGCCGAGCTATGCTGAGTGCCCCCACCCCACACACAGCATTCACTCTTCTGACATTGACCCATTTAAGGGACGCTGTGATCAGCTGACTCTGGGTCTTGGAGACACATCACCTCCCTCCCTTCCTCGGCGCTGCTGCCACCGCCTTGCCCAGGGCCCCACTGTCTTGGGCCTGGACAACTGCCCCAGCTCCTGTGGGGTCTCTGGGCCCACTCCCCACACATACCCAGGTTTTCCGCCACCACACAGCTAGAAGTGCCCTCTGGAAAGAGGAAAATGAAGTCATTGTACCCATGGAGTGAATCATCTCTTCAAGATATACAAAACCATGGGCACACTGACTCCCAAGTTGTCCAGATCTGGATCTTTCAGGACTGCAGCCTCCAGCCCCCCACCACGGACAGACTCCCCAACTTCCCCAGAAAAGTGAGATGGCGCTACCTGTGCTATTCCTCCTCTTTGGAATCCTGGCCCCTCCCAGCTATTCCTTGGGGCTGGCTAACCTTATCTTATTTTTCAGGAACCAGTTTCAATGTCACCTCCTCCATGAAGACCTCCCTTTCTCCCCAGAAGTAACCAGTTCTGTATCTGTTAAGTAGGTAGACCCTGCATGCACCACTGAGACAGACCAGGGCAGGGATTTGTGATTCGTCTACTTACATGTGAGCCTAGTGGGAGACCTGCATTCCCAAAGGCAGGCTTCTGTCTCCCCCACCCCTGTGTTGTTTTCCTGGGTGCAGATGGAGCCTGGCACACGGTAGGCATGTCAGTGGAAACTCTTGTGAAGGATCCTGCAGAGAGCGGGGACAAAGTGTGGATGACAACTTGATCAATTAATTTCCTCATGCTTTGATAATAAATTATTCTTTTCTGTAAGAGCAAATCATAATTAACATATATCTCTTTGGACACTCAGGCCAAATACTTGCTAATTGAAGACAGTCTGGCAAATACCAGGATTTTCAAAAATTTTGGAAAAGCTGAGAATAAACCAAGAAGAGGGTGTTATTTTGCTGGTACCCGCAATTCCTCTTACTTAACAGCACCTGGGTCTTTACAGGGAAACTCATCAGATGAGAAAGTTCCACCCCAAATACTTAGAAATGAAATCCAACCATTTCACCAAAAGCAGAAACTGGCCCCCAAGTCCCTATTTTTAGTTCACAAGATGATGCAAGATGCCTCATTTTTTGACTTGGGCACAAGGCAAAGTGCAAACTTTGTCAAGACAAGGTTATTTTAGGGAGAAAGGAAACAGCATTCCAGTTGACAGTAGTCACAGAGCTATCAGTTATGAACCCCTGTCAATGCTGTCAGGCTGTTCCCGGGTTCTAGAGGTGGTTTAATGCTGGTTAGTACCAACTTCCTCATTTGAAGTTTTCCTAATAGCGCGGTTTCTATTGCACGCTCACCCTCCATAGAGAAGCCTGGTAATTTCCAGTGACATACTCGGAGTAAGGGCTTAATTGAAAATGTTTAAGCCTCAGTGCAATACAGTAAGACAGTCAATTCAGAGCCTCTTCGGGAAAGGATGCTCGTCTGCCACGAGAAAACCTGACAGGTGGCTTTTGGGGCGATGCTCACACGGGAGGTAAAAACAGAAGGGAAGAGGATCTGGAGTAAGGAGCCCAAATCAAGTTTCAGTGACCTCAGTCACTCGTCTCACTCCTCAGCTTTCAGAAAAGGTACAAAGACGTTATTTCTCAGATCACTGCACACACCCACACGGCAGCAACAGCCCGGTCTCAGTCTTACTTCCTACATGAAAGTGACTCAGAATCTGGCACAAAGTGCCAAACTTTGATCTTCTGCTGTGACCTCTCCCCTCCACTGCCTGGTGAGATTTCCAGCATCCCAGGGAGATGGGACAGGAGCCTGTGTTCTCATGCCACACGGGCCTGCCTGTCCATGCCGTCCCCAAGCAAGAAAGAGAGTCAGCTATGAGAACGCAGGGCCAAGCCCACACTGAGATAGCTCTGTCTCCCGTCTGCCCTGGGCAGCCGTGGGGAGCTGCACTGTCTGGGAGAGGAGCGTGAATATTATCTTTCTCAGAACATATGTACTCAGGTGACTTCCATGGGCTTGAGAGCCCTTGATTTGACCCCGGACTTGCCCATCTGATTAAATGCCCTGACAGAGAGGCAAGCGCTGTCCCCACCACAGAGGTTCGTTGTGGCCGCGTGATTTGGCTGTAGCCAAAGATGGGAGCAGAAATGCACATGACATTTCTGGGCACAGCATGTAAGGGCTGGGCTGGCAACTCATCGTCCCCCTGGCTGCACTGTTGTGTGGTGGCAGCTCTGCTCCCCCTGGGTTCTGGGAGAGGAGGATGGACACATGGCATGAGTGAAAGACAAACTCCGCTTGCGTACAACCACTGAGATTCGAGTGATCAAAACTCAAGCATATTCCAGCCCATCCTGCCTGATACCAAAGATAAATAATAATTTTTTTTCCAGGATATTCAATGCTGGTTGGTGTTAAAATGATTTTCTTTTCTGCCTCAGAGCAAATTACTTAGATACTTCAAATTTCATTTGATGGCCTCTTCTCCCTCGCCTGTACTCACTCTCACTGTAGCTTGAGACAGATGAGAGGACTTGGTTTCTTTTTAATTTTCTTGTAGAAAAGTTACAGGTACTCAGAAATGGCCTTTCCACCTGGTTTGCCAATCTGGCTCTCACAGCTGCTGTGAAGACATCCTCAGAAACTGAATTACCTAGCATGCTCTTCTGACCCCAGGCAGCTGACTGACGGCTTCACCACAATCATCTCTGTGAACTGATGGCTTTGCCACAATCATCTCCATGTGTTTGCCACAATCATCTCTGTGAACTGATGGCTTTGCCACGATCATCTCCGTGCACTGATGGCTTCGCCACGATCATCTCCGTGTGTTTGCCACAATCATCTCTGTGAACTGATGGCTTTGCCACAATCATCTCCGTGTCTTCGCCAAACAGGGACTCGTGAGGACGCTCCTTCAGCATATTTCTCTTTTTGCCTGTAATACTCTATCACCAGAATTAGGTTTTTCAAAACCAGGACTGCTCAGTCCGGGTACCACCGGCCTTCTGGGCAGGGCACTTCTTGGTGCCGGGGACTGTCTGTCATGTCGGATACTGAGCAGCATCTTGGCCTCAACCCCTACATGCCAGCAGCGTCCCCTCCTCTGGTCATGACAACCTAAACTGCCTCCAGGGCTCCCAGCTGTGGTCCACTGCTCTAAACGAACATCCCCCCCAAGACGGGGATACCTTTGCTTAAAAAAGGCGGGGTCTTTGTTCTTCAATGTATTATTTATTGAAGGCCAATTGTTCTGCTCTCAGTGAGCATTTCCCATGTATCAGGAGTGGCTCTTAAATGCTGCGAATTCAGTCACTTGTGGGCTGGCCATTCTTTTGCTGATTTCCTTGGTCAGCCAAGTGCCCTCTGTGTTATAGGCCAGGCACTGCCCTGAGAATTAGACGGTGTGGAATAAACCTGCATGGCCTCTACCTACAGGGACTTGTTAAGGAAATATACATGCAAATCTATTGTTTGCAAATTGAGGTTAAGAGTTACCAAGGAAAAGAAGAGGACATGGAGCCAGGTGGGTGGGGGTGGGGGTGCGGATCGGAGAAGAGGAACATTTCAGCTGAGATGGGGAGGAACAAGCCAAGGACAGGGGCAGCGGAAGGTGCCTGGCAGAGGCAGGAAGGGCTGCTGTGTTTGAGGACCCAAAGGGGGTGGTTTGGTGGGAACACAGAGAGCGAGGGGGCAGAGGGTGAGATGTGGCTGGACAGGGCTCGGGGTCCCAGGATGTGCGGGGAGCCCAGAACGGCATCAGCAAAGGCACACGTCCCATTGGCCCTGAGGACCCTGGGCTTCCGGGGGTTCCCCCTCCTGTTCCACCCACTCCACAGCCCCTGGCCACCCTTCTCTAGAACCAGTAAGACCAGAAGTTATTATCATCAGATGGAATGGTTCAATCAGCCCTATTTCCAAGCAGTTTGCTGAGGAACAGGATTGCCGTGGATAAGCTAATAACATTTTAGTAATTGGCCTTAGTGGTGAAAGCATCTCATTTTGGTGGAGAAATATATTCTGCTTCACTACAGGACCTGGTGTAATCCACAGGGTATTTCTGATCATTCCATCCATCCAAACGGCCCTCGGTGAACCCACATTGCTATTGTGAATGTTTTGAGTAGGGAATGAATGAAACATACATGACCTTTTCACCTGGGTTTGTGTCCCCAGCCACAAAAAGACAGACATCATCCTTTTTGGATATAGGTGGTATTTTGGGTAGTGCTGTGTCCCCTCAAAGATGTGTTCAACTCCTAACCCCTGGTATCTACAAATGTGACATTGGGAAATAGGGTCTTTGGATGTAATCAAGTTAATAGAGGTCATACAGGATTGAGTGGTCCCTAAATCCAAGCACTGGTGTTCACAAAAGAGGGAAATCTGGACACAGAGACACACACAGGGAGAGCACCATGGATGGCGGCGGACTGGGGTGATGCGTCTGCAAGCCAGAGGTGCCGAGGATTGCCGGCCACACCAGCAACTACGGGACAGGCACAGGACAGCCTCCCCTCAGTCATGCCCTCACAGAGTGGGGCCCTGACACGTGCTCATTTCAGGCTCATGGCCTCGGGAGGTGAGAGGGAACCCCTTTCTGTTGCTGAAAGCCACCCAGCTCTGGTACTTGATCACAGCAGCCATAGGCAACTAGCAGCACCTTCACAAAATCCCCTAGAATACTTCTCTCAAAATGAAAAAAAAGCAGCTACAGAGATGAGTTGAGAATCCTGATTAAGCCACAGGAGATCTGAAATCACTGCGGTGGTAGATTTTAAGAATTTCTGAAGCTCAAGTATCACCCTCTCTCTTTTGTTAACAGTTACCGCTTATCTGAATCACATGAACTACATGGATGAGATCCATTACCAGCTGGTTAAAACAGTGGCAGGTTTCCTTTCATCAGATGTCAATGGAATGAATAATTTTGCTTGAGCCAATGAACCTAGCAGCTGCCAAGATGGAGCAATACTGGTCTTACCATTGGGTTACTTTTTCAGCAACAACAGAAAAATGCAAACCATCAAAGGAAATCATTAGCTCTCAGTGCCCAGAAATGCCTCCAACAGTGCCCCAGACTTGGTTGTCTCTGGCAAAGACCATAAAAATACTGGTGCATTTTTAGTCCTTAGTTTCGGCAGAGCATCTATAAAAAGGCGACTGACTTCTTTTTGATCAGAGTGCTACTTAGCAGGGCCAACTGGTAGACCATGCATAAAACCTTCCAGGACACAATTTGTAACACGTTTCTGGTGCCACAGACATCATGTGTTAAAAATGTGTTTGTGATGCTGCAGGGAAGCCCACGAGAGGAGGCGCGGGACATGCCACCTTTTTACCTTGCCTTTGTCGAAGTAGTGGATGATTTCTTGGTAGAGGTGTTCTTTCAGCTGCCCTTAAGTTGTTGCCTGGTACTCATCCCGCTGGGTGAGGTGGGCCATGCACACATCCTCCGACCACTATGGCAGAAGCAAAGTGTGAGAGGCCAGGTGAGGATGCGTCCAACACTGCCACCTGCTGCCCTCAGATCAGCTCCGCATTTGGTGCACACGGGCCCTGATTCCAGGGACACTCAGGCTGCCAGGGCCTGGAAATGAGGGCAGGGCCTCTGTGCAAAGGCCCCAAGAGGAATGAAAGACAAGAGGGAGGCAGAGCTGTGGCCACATTCAGGCCGAAGAGAAACCTGGCGGGTTCTGGGAAGTACAGAATGGTCATTTTGCTGATAATGCCCTGTAACCTCTGAGATGCATTATGAACCATGTGATTTGTGGCTGTCTCAAGTGGGGCACCCCGGGGCTCTGGCCTCAGTCCCGTGCTGCTCGTGATTTTAACAGCAAGGAGACACATGGTTCTCACATGAGTCCTGAAACATGGGGCTAGATGGGCGCTCAAGCTCCTTACAGTCAGGGCTGTGCCTTTATGCCGCTGGCGTCAGGCACAATACCTGTCCCCTGGCAGGGCTCAGCCAGTATGTGGTTATTTTATGACAAAAGATTCTATTTGAGGCTTTTTAGTTAATGAACAAAAATATATTTGTCACACTGAGGAGAAATTTTCATAGCAATACAAATAGTATTCTTTAGTGAGTTGGTTTACCAGTGTGAATTCACATTTACAGAAATATCAAAACATATTTAAGAAACATTGCAAAACGTAATGCTGTACAAGACATTGAGAGAGATTATAAAGCATTCACCATTTAACTGTAAAATTCAGAGCCCTGATGGAAAAGATAATGCAATCGGGCCATTTGATTTGAGTCTGAAACGCCTCCTGTGGTCTGTGACAGACCCATCTGTACTCAGTAATTTCGATGAGTGAACAAATGATAGTTTACATACATGTGTTTTACATGCACACGCATATGTATTTACGGACTCTGAGAGAGATGGAGGTTGAGTGAGCAGTCTGTCAACCCCATTTTAATTTCCCTGGCGTAGAAGAAATAACCTCATATTTGCAACAAACATCTTGTTACTGAAATTAGGGTCTCCGACAACTGCAGGCCATTACAATTCATGTGGCATGGCAGGTGTAAGAGGCCCTAACTGAAATCTCTATGTTCCTAAACTGCATCCCTTGGGAGAGCTTTATATGGTGTGAAGCCGAAGGGGGACGACTGATGACTATCAGTGAGGCAGCCAGATTGAGCCATCTCCACTCTCTGCTGTCTCTGGAGCAGCCTGTGTGTATCTGTGGCACCAGAGCTCATGGAGATTTCAGGACTGGGCCAAAGGCCAGAGATTCTTTCTGGAGTTTCACTCCCTAACACACTGTCTTCTCATCACCCACTAGACATTGCTTGATGCCCTTTTAACATAATCTTTTCTGGTTTTCTTTCATTCAGTTTGTGGTGTTCAGGGGGCTGGCCTGAGTTTGGAAACAGGGTTACTTGAATGAGCAATCTTTGTGTAGAGTCACTCAACTACACTCTAATTCTCATTACTTGTTCTTGTTTATCCAGTTTTTCAGTTTTTTTCAATTTTTTTATAAGAGTATCATGGGCAAGATGATCTAATGACTTGCTGAAGTCTTAAAATATAAAACTAGAGGTCGTATAGTAATTCCTTCATTCAGTTACCCATCCACCCATCCATCCATCTGTCCAGCTACCCTCCCACCCCCGCCCAGTTCCTCCCCTTTGTCATGCACACCCACCCACGCACCTACCCATGCATCCACCTAGTTATTTGCTGAGGGTCCACTCTGTCTGACTAACTGGGCTGATGAGACATGGGGAAGAGCATTGAGTATATTACTGCAAACAAACAAAACAGCCAAGGTCGAAAGCTAGCTGCCCAACAAAAGAACTACTGGGAGCTGAAAGTCGTCAGGCTAGACCTGTGCGCAGGAGCAACACCCTCCAGGAGAGCCAGCCAGGAGGTGCGGTGGGAACTGGGGACTAATAGGAGATCTCAGTGTGGAATCACAGACAGGACAGTCATGATGGGGTCCCTATACTCAGTGCTAAGATAATCAGGGGTCTATCTCATCCTATGTCTTAGCTGTTTGACCACAGAAATTCCTTCTTGTTGATGTCATTCTACACCATGACTGACACCTGTTGGCATGAATAAGGAATTGGAGAATCTCTCATCCACTGCCACTTTACAGTCCAGTGACCGGCTGTTCACGATGCTTAGTGATAACTTGCTATGACAGCTTGTTAAATCTGCACTCAGTGGGGCCAGATCTATAATCAAAGTACTTCCTAAATATCTTTGTTTTTACCATTTCATTCATTCAATATCCATAAAAGCCTAAGTCATAAGTTTACTAAAATTTATCATGGAAAAATACAAGTTTAAATGATCTTAGACTTTATAACAGAATCATAAAAGTGTATGGCAATATTTATTACCTTCAGAAGCTTTGCATGGAGAAGCAGAGTGTAAATGGCTTCAGTGTAGTTATCACACTCTTTGTGCAGGTCACACAACTTGTACAAATACCTGAGATGACAAAACAGAGGTACCTTCGTAAAATGTCAGCAGATCATTTGTACTGAGGGTTCCAAGAGCTAAATTCCACCTTCAACAATAAATCATATCTATGCTTTCTTTTTACAGTGTTCACAATCCATAGGCCTTGAAAACTTTGGTGCAGAAGCACCAAGAGAAGTCAACTACAGCAACAACAATAATACATATTTTTTTAAGTCCTCTTTTCAGGACAAAAATCAAGATGGTGCAAGAAAACAGAATTACTCCTCAAGGTTTCTCATTCTTTCTCATCTTTTCCAGTTTTCCTCTTACATTTGAAATGAAATGATGCAATGTTTGATTGTGATTTCTTATGTTTGTATTGAATCCAAATGCATCAAAAATATCCATGAAAATATAAATCCATAAGAATAAAAGAGCTCCAGTGATCACAGGAATGTTGGTCAAAAGAATTTCTCTACCATAAAGAAATAAAAGTTGTTTTAATACAAAGCTATCTGCATTTGGGATACAAGAAGCTGTTTTCCCAAAAGCTCATTAGATTTATATGGTATATTTTTGAAGGAGAAAGTTAAAAAAAAATTAGAAACCAGAAGTTAGAAAATCATACTTGATATGATAAATACATCATTAAACACTAATGTCATGTGGATTACATCTTTATTCTATTCTTGCCCAATATTTGACACTGGCTCCTAGAAAAGACCAAGAAAGAGAGGGGCTCAATCACAGCCCATCACTTTGAAGGAAAGGCAAGTGAGAGAGAAAAATGTAAAACATGAGAATATGATGTCAGTTAAAGAACAGACTGAAAAACTATAATATTGTCTATTTCTAAGAAAGTTAAAACTGGATTTCTCATTTCATCATCTGGTTTACTGTGAAACATTAAAATTGTGGTGATGTCTCTTTTCAAAAGGGCCACGTGAGTCAGTTAAGTGATACAAACCCTGTGAAATAATTTATGGCTTTATTTCTGAGCTAAGTGTAACCCCCCATCTCTGCATGGACGTCGGCAGCCGCACAAGGGCTGAGGATCTATCTGGGCGCTCCACAAAACTCAGTCTCTAGGATTCACAATCTCCTGTAAGACAAACCTCCGTGGTTATACAGCATTTCTTTGCATGGACTTGACAAGAGCAATTATAATATACCAGGAGACAGTGCAGACAAGTGTGATGGCTACGTACCTTATACACATTTCTTCTCTTTCAATTTCTTTGTAGAAATTCTGAAAGATCAAACCACAACACTGTTTTAAGAAACCTGTTTTATAAAAGGTATCACATGTATATTAAAAAACTCAAGGTTCTTCAACTTGGGTCAAACATAAGACAAATGGACCCTGGCTCTTTCGATGAGAACCAGAGTCACATAAAATAAAAATCCATTTTACATCCCCTTCTTCATCTTTTTGGAGGACAATTCTAATAATCACATTTCCTACACTGTGATGACTAAAATCTACTTCTGTTATTTGAAAGTCATCTGTCTTCGATTAAAATAAGGTACTATTCAAATATGATTTCTTAACTATTGTAAACTCATTATAAGTAAAAATAAATAAGCTCAAGACCGTAAATTTGGGAGTAAGCATCACCAACAGGATTTAAACATGCTAGAGCAAGCCCTGACAAGAGCGACAAGAAGCACGGTGGTATTCCACACCTGAGGTGCCTGAAACTGTAGCACTACCACGTGTTCAAATGTAACATAAATTCAATTAAAATTAAAGGAACTTAAAAATCCACTTCCTCAGTTGCACTTGCCATACTGTGAGTGCTCAGTAGCCACATGGAGCTAGTGCTCTTGAACCGAACTGTGCAGACACAGAACATTTCCATCGTCACAGAAATTCCCAGTGGACAGTGTGGGTCTAGACAGAGACATCTGACCAGAGTAGGAAAACGGGTTGCCACTTTATAGGCACTTTGTAAGTACTGATGGAGGAGAGTGAATTAGTAGATTATAAGTGATGGACTGTTTCTATAAATTATAAAATATCTTCAGGATGAGCATAAGAATGTGTATCAAAAATACACTTTAATGTGAGATCTCTATAAAACACTTTTAAAAATCTCACCTAATCAGGCCTCAGGATAGAAACACCAGAACTACTTTCAAATGTGAAACTCAGCACCTGAACACAACGTTAGAACTCTGGAATCAGTGCCTGAGATTAATCACCATTGTGAAGGTACTTAATTATCCAATAAGATGAAATAAGTTGTTTAATTTCATTAGCAAAAAGACCCACACAGCTGCCAAAATTGATCCCTTTTGAGCAAATATAGAAAGAGGGGGCACTGTTAGAAAAACGCACCAAAGATTTCCCTATTTCTGCTGCCTCTGAGATTTTAATGTCCTCTAGTTGGAAAGATACAGCTCACTAATGAGGATATTTTCAGCTTACTCAGAGCCATGTAACAGAGAACCTGCAACAAAGGTAGAGAATAAGCCCTCCACTTCCACCTCGAACTGGCCAGTATTTTACCAGCTATGATTTCACATCATTTTCTTCTGCACTCATATTTTTAATCCTTTCCTAAGTGTTTGATCATTCTCCCTTACAATTTCACAATAGGGATATCGTACGACTTTCATTCCTCTCTCGGAGACACGGATCTGGTTCTATTTCTTGCCTGTGCTGAGTTCTGTTCCCTTCCTAAGACTTCAAAACCTCTCTAGAACTGAAGGACACTCATCTCAAATACCAGTTTCTATATAAAACCTTTGCGTTTCTTAGGTAAATGTTGACGCTGCTCTGGTGCTCTGCAAGCAGCACCCCCCTCCCCCCCCGCCCCATCCTCTCTCAATGCCCCTGGCACCAGAGCTGACCTCTGTGGGAGCTCTCCATGCGGCCCCATCAGGACAGGCCCTCAACTCCAATCCACCACTACCCATTGGTCTTTCAGAACTTACACATTGGCATTACATTGCAATTTTGTACTCCTTTATGACTAAAGCAGAAACTCAAATTTTTTAGATTCCAATCATAACCCCCTTAATTAGTCTTGTAAAGGGGCCCTGAAGAAAGTAAACATCTGTATGTTAACAAAGATTCTACCAGTCTTAGATAGGGATATGTTAATGACTGCTTAGAATTAGGTGACTTGATTATGAGGTGACAATGAATTCTACTCAATTACAGATGTGCGTTTTGTTGGGGAACCATGATCTAATATACCAAGTAAATGTCCTTGCAGGGGCATATGTAGGAGGCTTAGGTGGCTAGAAAGAGTGACTGACTGCTTATGTCCCTTAAATTTTCATTTTTTCTTTCTTTAAATGCAAGGGAGAGTAGGATATTAATGAGCCCACTCAACTTAATATGTTCCACTAACTTCATTAAAAAAAAAAACCAGCAACACTGGTTCTAATGGAAACTTGGTAATGGGATTTACAGGGCATCATTAAATTTCATGTTATGTTTTAACATTAGGATTTCAAGAGGACTTCTGCTTAGTGATAAATGGCACACATTTTTTATATTTCTAGCTTATGTTTATATACCATGTTCATCTAGAGATGGATAGTCATATTCATCTCTATGAAACCCCATTTGTTTTATAACAAAAGTACCAGGAGAAAAGGTAAAAATGGACTGAGAGATTAGAAGCAGATTTATATTTTTATTTATATCATTAAATGTGATCTGGGCAGTGAACATTTAGAGCCAGGACACCTACCTGTAAAAATCCAGTTTCTTGTTTCTCTTTACTCCCTAGGATACATTTTATTTTTTAAATGCAAGCATCATGATAGGTTGGTATCCATCTTATCCCCAGGAAATGCTAAGAAGGGAACACTTCACTCTGCGTGGGGTGACTCCAAATGTGCAAGTTGGAAGAAGTTTAATGAGGTCAGAAATCCTGGATGTGTTTCTTAGCTAATGCCCCGCTAGTGCTGACAGCAGTAACAATAGGGAGGGACCGAGCAAGGCTCCGTGTGACGTTAACACATGTTAACGTCAGAAACTCTGGCTGCATGTGTCATTACAAGAGCTTGTTCTCCGACCCTGGTCCTGGAGATAGAAGGCCATGTTCAAAGCACATCACCACTTCTCTGCTAGGTTTCATACCCAGTGAACATGAGAGGTCTTGCTTAAAACAAATAGCGTTCTCAATTACCAAAGCTGAAAAGCTAACAAACATTAGTAATTCTTCCTCTGGACACCATCTGGCCACTCAGGTCCCCTTCAAGATCAGAAGGAGCACTAGAAAAAGTATGTCTCCAGTAGGGAATGATTCTGAAAAGGTTTCCATTTCTCATCTGCAGAAAAAGACTGTTTTCTATTTCATGTTAACCACACTGGCACCACCAAAGTAAATTACTTTGAACCGAGGCAAGAATGCAGGAAGACAGTGAAGCAAGGGCCAGGCTCATTTCCGTGCGAAAGATGGAGGCCCTTACCCAGGGCAGGGCTCGCTGCTGTGCTCCGCTGACACTACAGGTGAATGTGAAGGCGAGCACAGCGGCGGACAGGCCTCAGGCATTGATGCCAGAAGCCAGGAATTCCCATAGCTGCCCAGACTCACAGAACGCATGCAAATGTATATGGAAGGCTGAAGCCCATTCTTTCCTCAACTGTGTCCCATCTATTAACAAGAACAAAAGTACTCTTCACTGTTAGTGTTGTGGATTTCTTGATTCTTCCTTACACTTTCCACCTCTCTGCTTATGCTACTCATCTGATTTTGCATAATGTCTCCTTTTACATTAGTGCTCTTACCATATTAATCACGGTTATTTAAAATCCCAGTCTGATAATTCCAAAACCTCTTGCCATATCTGAATCTGGATCTGATGGCTGCTCTGTCTCTTCAAACTGTGTTTCGTGCCTTATAATCTTACAGTGACCGTGGACACAATGTACTGGGTAATGGGAATCCAGTACTGCCTCTGGCAGCTGATTCTGCTCCTGGGCTTCTGCTCCGGTAAGCTGTGATTCTCTTTAACCTCCTGTCTCTCCAATTTGGGAGGCAGCAGTTTTCCCTGCGAAGCTAAGAATTGTTTACTTTCAGTAACAAGAATTGTTTACAGCCAGCTTTTTCCCCGTGGTGAGGATGGGAGTGAAACTTCCAAGCTTCTTTTACAAATTGGACCAGAAATCAGAAGTCCCCCATACTTGGATTTTCAAGGAGAGGAAAACTTGCTACAGAAAATGCTTATCACTAGATGAAACAGATTGCCCCATCATAGAATGCAGGGGCTGAGGAGGCCACATGGTTCTAGCTGCAAGTTCCTGGTGGCAAAGCACAGATACAATACTGATGCCAGGGTGGATGGAAGGTGTAAATAGTGCCTTCTGTTTATCTTTTCAATCCAAACATCTTTTTGATTTTCTATAGAATGAATGAATGTGTCATATTTCTCCAAACACTAAAGTCTGTCACCATGAGCTCAAAGTGCCTCTAAGTCCATACAAATCGTGGACACAGAAGACCAAGGATCCATATGCTGCCCAATGACCAGGTGGCGATATGGAAAATCCAGAGAAATGCATTAAGTAGAACAAAGTAGGTGTAGTGTTTTCCTGCAGCCCCACCTTGGGGCAGGCAGGGAAGGTTAGAAAACCCCTTCCAGGGCCAGGAGTTGGCTTCTCTGGCTCCTCTGAGAGCAGGGGGAGGATGCAGGGAGATGCACAGAGCTCTGGGCTAGAAGCGGCGGTCCTGTGGTTCCAGCAGTCCCTGTCACTGAGCTTGTCCTAAAACTTCTGAAAAGCCCGTTTCACCTACAGCACTAGCCGATGCCACAATGACATGAGGAAGGCCGTGTCCACAGTACCCAGCCGAGTCACAGTGTCAGAAGCGGTGCAAGAGGGCCAACTCGGCCCCAGCCATCTGCTGTCCCTGAGGCCATGCACTGGCTTCTTGTGGCTGCCGTGACAAATGGCCACACACTGGGGTTAAGACAACAGATCTGTACTCTCTCACAGGCTGGAGCCCAGAGTCTGAAGTCAAGGCGTCAGCAGAACCAAGGTTCCTCTGACGGCTCTGGGGGAGAATCCCACTCTGCCTCTTTCAGGTCCTGGCAGGCCCAGGGCTCCCTTGGCTTGTGGCCATACCACCCCGACTCGAGCTCCATCCTTAGATGGCCCCCTCCTTCTCTGTCTCTTAAAAGGACACTCATCATCGGATTTAGGGCCCTGGGTAATCCAAGGTGACCTCACCCTGAGATCCTTAATTCAGTCAATCTGCAAAGAGCCTTTTTTCCATATAAGGTCACGTTCACAGGTTCTGAGGATTAGGATGTGGACACACCTTTCAGGGACTGCCATTCAACCCGCTACAGGACATGCTCACAATCTCCTAATACTGAAGCCCTTTGCCCCTGTTACCAACACAGGTGCTACTGTGGTTACAAAATAAGATGGTGCAGCATTCTCAGCCACATGGAAGAGCTGTGTGGTAACATCCAGAGGGGACATGATTTTGCCACCTTCTTCAGAGCAGACAGTTCGTTGTTATCCCTCCCACGAAACAGATGAGGAAATATGCAAACAATGCTGCACTGCATGGAAAGCTCTGTGGCCAGCTGGCAAGAGGCCTCTGAACTTCCTACTTCCATTGCTGGCTTCCTGGGAAGACTGGAAGTTAAATGAACTTTTCACTCACCAGCACATTGACAGTACAGCTCATCCTGTTTTCTTTGTTCTCATCATGCATGATGGTTCTATAATCCAGAAGTCTTTCCATCAGGCGCACAAGAAGTTTTACAAAAGTTTCTCCCGTTTTGGCCAGGTATTTGTGCTTCCTGCAGTGTTCCAAGAGGCTGAAAAATAATTATACACACCTTGTTGATCACACTCAGAAAAAGAAACTTGTCTGAGGTGCAATTTAAAATATTTTCCATTATTAACACATTTTAATTATTTCTGGGCTACAAAGTTCACTGTAGTCTAATTACAATCTCTCTGTCTCTATTATAACATAAGCCCCACTGTTAATCAACACTTACATTTTCTCAAATAACACCTTGTACTGCTCATCTCCTCTGCCTCCTTCCACTTCATGATCCAGCTTGGTGATGATCTCATTTGCAAACTATAATTAAACAGAGGAAGCGTAAATAATCAGCATGGAGGATATTTCATTGTGTAACGGAACGTCAATAGTACACAAGCTGACGAGATGATCACCACACAGTCACTCTCTATGCCTCTGAAGCCGGATTTCACTTAAGAGTTGCCACCCCTGAGTCCCTGGGGACTTCTGATGACCCCCCCACCCCCCTACCATCACTGGGGGAATCTTTCATGTCCTTTCCTGGTTAATGGAGCCTAAACATGTGTATTTTGATAGCAGAAGCCAGAGGAAGACAAGGAAACCGGAGAAAAAAAATTGAGGAGCGACGCTAAAACAGCCCCAAGCTTCATCTCTACAAACAAGTAACACTGAAAATAGCTCATGGGTTCCCAGAATTGAACAGATGGCTCTTTACCTGCCAGCAGAGTTCTCGGCAATCTGAAAACATATGAGGGGCCACTTCACTACCATCCCTTGATGGCTCCTCGTGAAGTACCTCACTGTGGTTGAAAAAAATACTATAAAAATAAGAGCGGAAATGTCTCTAAAAGACTAGCAGGCATCTCAAGAAGGTCCACCTCCAGGCCCTTCTTTGAACTCCCAGAGCTTCTGTTTGGATTTCCAGAGCACAGGGCTGGGACAGGATCCTTAGAACTGACTTGTCTCTCGGACACAAGCTTTTGGGAAAACTAAATTCTGGAGAGGTGCAACTCTCCCAAGTGTTTTCACAGCAGCTGCCTGAACCCTGTGGCTGATGGGGCTGCACAAAACCACCTCAACAATGGTGGGCATGCATCCCCATCCTTCTTACCCAATGCCGCAGCCCTCGCAGGACTCGGAGCCACCTCAGTGCCGGGACTCTAGCTGGGGGCTCTGAGGCTTCCCGCTGGCTTGGGCCAGGGGGTAAGGAGGGGCTGTGAGCATGTCAGCCCCTGCAGAGCTGGAGACAGCTGAATTCAAGGTTCAGAAAGCAAGCACACCATGGCACATGGGCAAGGGTCTTGGGGATCCCGGGATGATAATACGCTCAGACACTGCTCTCCCAGCAACAATCCCCAAATGCCCTGCTATTCCCAAGAAGCCATAAGGATTTAAGCTGGGTGAGAAAGAATTTTCATCTCTCTTGGTCATGTTGTATCCCCAACCCCAAGAACAGTGGCTGGAGAGGGTGTTCTAGTGGGATGAAGGTGCTACATGCATGCCAATTACTGGACAGACTTGGTATGAAACATGAGCTGGGGAGGGCTTAGTATGTCAGCAGAGGGGACTAGCAGGATGCCCAGACACGACCTGCTCTCCTGGCCATGCAAGCCAAGTGGTGAGCACACTCGTGCGTGTGCCTGATACGGGCACTGCCAGCTCCATCTATGGTGCTGGGGACTCAGTGGCAGTGGACTGTGGTCTCCTGTGAGGCAGAGGAGAGGGCCTCATGAGACCCAGGGAAGAGCCTCAGAGAAAAGCAGGCAGAGACCTGCCTGATCTTGATCGGGACACGCGGCCTAACACAGCAATTTTTTCATGCTACAGATGAAACGAAGGTGTAAAACAGGACTGGAGAGAGGTATTGATTCTTGCTTGACATCAAGGACTCGGCAACATCTCATAAACCTGGACATGATGAGTCCCTGCAGTTCCCTTTGTGATTCTCTCCACTGCTTCCTCTCCAAATATATGCCTTCCTTCTCACTCTGTTTGTTCCGAGTCATTCAGGGAGTTTGAGAAACAGAGAGAGAGATGGTTCCACTGAACAAGAGAGAATGACTCGCTTTGTTTTATTCATCTTTAGTCTCTTGAGAGTGACTTTTACTGTAAAGTAACAATCTCTTGATACTAACCCACTATTATTCTGCTCTTTACAGACAATTCCACAAAAGGCGGTTCTTTTAGGGAACTGATGTGAGGGGGACGGGTTGCCGCTAGCCCGGAAGCTGGCGTTTCCAGGCCGTCCAATCTCCCAGATGGTCCCATGATGGGACCACCAAAAACTAAGTGTCTGGTGAGTGCTAAGTCTTCAGAACAAATAATTGAGATACATACAAAGCTAGATGTAATCAAACCACACAATTCAACTCCACGCCGGAGCACACAATAAGGAAGGCATACAGAATGCAGAAAAACATGCCTCATCCTAACAGGCAAAACAGCACACAGGCTTTTGAAATTGCTCATCACTAGTTAATCAGAAGGTATTTGAACTTGGAATGTGCTTTATGGAAATGCCATGTTTTCTCTGCTTCCACATAAACCTAGCTGTCACAAACAAGGGCAATAAGGAAGCACCAGCTCCTTAAGTATGCTGCTTATCAAATTTTTTTTTTGAGAGGGCATCTCTCATATTTATTGATCAAATGGTTGTTAACAACAATAAAATTCTGTATAGGGGACTCAATGCTCAATGCACAATCATTAATCCACCCCAAGCCTAATTCTTGTCAGTCTCCAATCTTCTGAAACATAGCGAACAAGTTCTTACATGGTGAACAAATTCTTACATAGTGAATAAGTTCTTACATGGTGAACAGTACAAGGGCAGTCATCACAGAAACTTTCGGTTTTGATCACGCATTATGAACTATAAGCAATCAGGTCAAATATGAATATTCGTTTGATTTTTATACTTGATTTATATGTGAATCCCACATTTCTCTCTTATTATTATTATTATTTTTAATAAAATGCTGAAGTGGTAGGTAGATGCAAGATAAAGGTAGAAAACATAGTTTAGTGTTGTAAGATGCTTATCAAATTTTGACTGATGAATTTAATGTTTTCTAAAATGAGTGGATGGATAAGGAAATCAGAAGAACACAGCTGATTCTAATTTACTAACTTCTAGTCTAAACTAAGTAATTTGCACAAACACCTGGCAACCCTGCTCTGTTTCTCAGCAAGGATTCAATACCACAGATCTGCAGCTCGCCTCTGCTTCCAGGGTCTTCATTAGTTTTTACAGAATATACTAGAATCAATTTGCTAGTGTGCTTATGAACTGTTATCATAATCAGAATTAAACAGTCCTGTCCAAATAAATGGGAGGAAGTACATTTGCTCATACAGCAGAGCTGGTTTGATAAAAATCATGTTTATTATCTTACTCATAAATGTATGCTATCTGGTAATTTGCAACAGGGTTCTCTACGGTTAGGATAAAATTAGCAAGGGTTTACTGTGTTGCTCAAAGGTGACAGAGACTCACTCATGTGACAAGCAAAATCATTTTATTTTCCTGTCTTTTCTGAATCACCAATACTACTACAAAAATACCCACAGGGTGTCCACCTTAAAATATTGAACAGAGCATATCTAAGCATTCCAGTATGGGCAATCCAAAAGCCAATCCTGCTTGGTTTGTAATGCATCATTTTTGGTGGGGGTTAGATTTACCATTCTCTATAATGCATTTACAAACGGATAAAAGCAGGCCTGCATTTTCCAGGAACGCATTTACAGAAGGGATCTGGCATTACGCTAGAAGAAGAGAGGAAGCTGGACCAGGATGGAAAGGTTTGCACAAATAACTCATCACATTGATGAAATGCTTAGAGGTTATCAAGAGCAGGGTAAAGTCCGAAATCTAGGAACACGGTCTCCTGAGTTTGTTAGAAAAAGGTTATCTTTGACCCGTGTACAGATAATGCTTAGTGCACTTGCTGGTTGCCCTGCAGTGCACTGCTTCCTTCCATTACTCAGGGGGAACTGCTTACACAATACCAGAAGCAGGACCACGGTTTGAGACCACCCACCGGGATCCAAGAGCTCCAAAGAATCAGATCCTCTGCTTCTGAACTTCCAGATGGAAACGGGCCAATACAGTGGCATTGCAGAACCATGTCCCTGCTCTGCAGCAGTGACAGGAGAGGTGGGCGAGAGAAAGTGGCTGACTGTATCTGCGTGGAACACATGGCCAGGAAGAAGGAGCTGGCATGGCTTGGGAGAGCAGCCTGGCTCTGAACCACCCCTGGGGCTCCATACTAACATGTGGCCACTCTAAAAGTAACTGACCCCAACCACCCACAATCTCTCACTCACACTTTAATCCCTCTGCCCAGGCATGTTTTTAGGTGTACCGCGTAACTCTTGCTTAACCACTCTGCAGACTTACTTACACAATCTCTAGCACACCATATCCCAAATTCTAAAATCCCCACTTCCTTCTATATCCAGGCTGCTCACTGACCCTGAAGCTTCTATGAAATTTCCAAAGGCCTAGAGACCCACAAGTCCCGCACAGGTGTAGCCTGGCTGGGGAACTGTCTGCTGCCTAGTGCACCCTGGGTGACCTCAGGCAGGTGCAGCTGCACCCCATTTCCACATCGCGCACACTGAGGCGTGACTCTGGGTTGTAGACAATGACGATGGGCTCCAGGAACATGCCCTCAGAGTGAGTCCTGTTTAATTTGGTTAAAAGCCATTTATGGGGGTTTGGGCATCTCTTTGCTGAAGGGCTTTGAAGAACAGAATGCAGTGTAATCAGAACTCTTGGAATCAAGAGTATTAGTTTACATGACTTCTCAGACCGCTTTCAGGCCTGGGATTCAATTAGATAAAAGCCTAATTCTTGGGCACTGTATTTCCTCGTTAAGCATCCAACATAATAAAATCAAGTGTTATTTTGAAATTGAAGGCAAAAATAAGCAAACCAACAAACGAAATCCCAAAGAATGAAGAAACATGATAAAATTGCCACCAAACGTACTCACATTCATATTACAGTACAAAATACACTGGCTTTCCCACCGAGTGGCAGAAGCTGCCCACCACCACTTGGGTTATTCACTTATTTCCTTATGGTTACCAGCATGAGTAGGACGAAGAGATTATTCAAGCAGGAACCCAGAAACAAAGACACAAAGATTACTCATGTTCTAATATTGTTACAACTAAATGGGAATTTCTGGAAACTGGGGCATTTTACTGACCCTCACACAGCTGACAGAAAGCAGCTCCATAACTGAAAATATTATTTTACTGCAGAGCCTTCTGCATTCCACTTTTATTAATGGTATGTAGCTCATACA